GCTCGGAGTAGTGTGGCTGGCGTGGGCGGTGGCGGCGGTGGCGGCGGTGCCAGCGTGATCCTCGAGGAGAGCGAGACCGGCAGTGTGGCCAGCAGCAAAGACGGCATCAAAGATGGCATCAAAGACGTCAAAGACGTCAAAGACGGTGGAAAGGGCGGCGGCTTCGACCTGTCCAACGGCTTGCAGGCGATCCGTAATCTGCAGATCCGTGACAAGGTACGGCAGCCATGGAATTCGCCCGTGTATGCGGCATGAGAATGGCAATAATGAGGTAGTGTGCGAAGTACAATCGGCAACTCTCTGGCAGGAATACTTTCTTTGGATTTATTTATGATATCTTGACGCGAATAGGACGGCATGGAGTTGGTGGTGTTTTGACTAAATTTGGACTTACGATCTTATGCACTTTCCTATGACCATTTTGTTCTATCAATCTCAGAATGAAGCCTTTCCAACCCCGTCTTCAAGTGCCAAGAAAATCGGTAAATACAGCATACTCGCGTGGACAAAATAGGAAGTTGGCCTTGCCAAGGAAGCAAATCTTAAACTAGAGGCTCCAAGCTTTTTTATGCACCATTGAATAAACCCCTAACTGAACTGGCCATGGGAAATGCGGAGAAAGCCAAGTCAAAATACGAGAATGGAATTGGAAGAGCAGCTCGGCCATGAGCACCGTGCAGGTGGTATCAATGCAGTCCCCCCTTTCCGGGCTCCCGTGTCGTCGTGAAATTAGAAAAAACAAACACGAAATGCCAGGACCGTTGTTCTTCGAGTGGCATTTCGGGTGTCCCCAGGACAAAATGCACCAAAATCAGCAAAACGTAACCATGATCAGCGCTCTTTGACGGATCCCCACCCACACCCCTGCTCTGCAACCCCATATTACGGAGCAGACGGTCCATTGAAGAAAGTTGAGAAGGTCATACAAAATATTACATTGTACGAAATACACCATTAGACGACGTATCCCGAGCTCAGCAAGTATATCGCACAAACGACAAAGTGAATAGGACGACAACCAGATTTCTGCAGAGCAAGATGAAAGGGCAGGTCGATGTGCGCACCCACGTGGGACAGCATCTTGCACAACCGGCCTGCGACATCTGTGCAGCTATGTCTTCACACTCGCTCATCAGAATTGCTCGTAACTCGGCCGTATCGACATTCCAAACGTATTTTAACCTGCAACTGCTGGCCGAGGCACGAGGCACGGCATAAAATGAGATTCTCAGCTGCGGTATAAGCCGATGGTATCAAGGTACACAATCGTCCCACGATTTCACCAGGCGTTTTGGAGCAAACACCGCCGACAAAGCGAGGTTTGGATTATTTTCACAAAAAAAAAAAACACCGAGTTTCGTTATCAGCGGGGCTCCACCATTGTCAGACAGCGCTAAAGCAAGGTACAAGGGCTGGATGGGTCTGAAAAAAGTTTGCAGCGAGAGCAGCTTCTGAAGCCGCTACGAGCGGCGTAAAAGTGGAGTCTCAAGAATAACACTAGGTTTGCAAAGTAGCTTTTGTATGTTTCTGCCCGCATTCGGATACTTTACATTCCAGTGGCTCGTTCATGCACAATGTAGTCATTGACATTCGGCAAGAGCGACCCAGTTTTTGTGCACATTGACAAACATTGCTCTGGTAGAACCCGGTTGAAACAAAATATTTTCAGAACAAAGGCTTAGTATTCGTAAATGCCTCTCACGTCCGCTTGTATTCTTTGTAAGATACCTTATTCGCCAGACCCTCTTGTCTCTGTAGCTGCATCTGATCAGCGTACGATCTAGGCTACTGCCGCTCAAGGGACTGAGACGTGGCTGTTTGCGCCTGGCAGGAAGGAACGCCCCGACGGCTGCTGGATTTTAAGGTGACGTATATCTCCTATCGTGTTACGAAATACAATGACGGGTTACCACGCCTCAAGTTTGTGTGCAGGCAGGCGTTCTGGTGTACCATTACGAGTGCGATGTTCGGCCCCTTTTCGATGGGCGAATGAGGCCCTGGCCTGGCCACTGTAAAAGACTGGACGCAGTGGTCCACGCTTCGTGCTTCCTGCCAATAGCGACACCAATCAAATGCGACGGCTGCAGGGGCAGTAGCTCCTGCCTCTGTCGGTGTCAGGAAACAGAAGAAACAGAAGAACAAATCAGAACGGCAACAGCCACTGAAGACAAGCACAAAGCCTTGGTCCTTTTGCCCCCGCGTCGCACTTTCTGTGACGTTAGTGCATCCTCAAGTGGGAAGGAGCCCCGTTCCGGTGTCTTGCCCCTTGGTCGTTTCCTTTTGTGGTCCACGCTAACACGACTAAGATGCTACCCAAAAACCTCGAGCACACCAATACGGAGGAAAAGTCTCACAAAACAAGCGTGCCTCGCGCTTGCCCTCTTTGCTGTACGAATGCAGAGGTGGATCTTTCTTTGCCTGCAGCAGTGCATTCCGGTTTGTGTTGTTATATTGTATGGCGAATTGTCTGCGATTGTGGTTTGTTTGCTCCTTCTATTCTTGGCCCTCCGTCTCTTGTTTTTGGCCTTTTTGCCTCCCTCTTTCCATTTTCTGTTCCTTCCCTCGTCGTCCGTTGTCCCGTTGTTTGTTGCACACATCACCAAGTTGCAGATTGTCCGTCTTGTTCGGTACACGGGGGTTTTAAATTTGTTTGTCTGCGGCGTGCTTCAATCAGATTCTGTGCCACTCGTTGTCTTCACCCACAATCAACTTTCGACGTCTTTCGCTATTTGAGCTCTAGGCCCCAGACTCAAGGACATCTTCTCGATACGCTCGCTACTCGTCACATCTTCAATTCTCTCGCTCCGATTTTGTGCTGCCTACCCAACCTCACAGTCGTTCGCCTTTCGTCACATTCGTTTCACTTTTCACCCTGCCCAGCTTCCACTCGTTTGTTTTCTGCCTTCTTCCGTCAACATGAGATTTACAACGGCGTCCGGCGTGCTTCTGGCCGCCGCTGCCTCGGCCAATGCCGCCTCTTCCACGCTGGCGACCGTCTCCGTCGTCGGCAACAAGTTCTTCAACGAGGACGGCTCCCAGTTCTTTATGAAAGGCATCGCCTACCAGCTCTCGCAGGACGACCCTCTCATCGATGGCGACCAATGCGCCCGCGACGTGCAGCTGATGAAGACGCTTGGCACCAACACCATCCGAGTCTACCACGTCGACCCGACCGCCAACCATGACAGCTGCATGAGCGCCTTTGCGTCAGCTGGCATCTACACCTTGATCGACCTCGATACCTTCAACACCTACATAATGGATCCGGTATGTTGCCCCCGGGCTGCTGTTCTGCACATATACCACTTTGTTTCCCATATTCTAACATTGCAGACCATGGCGGCCCCGTCCTGGAACGGGACACAGTTCGGCCACTTTGCCGCCGTCATGGATACCTTTTCCTCCTACACGAACGTTCTCGGCTTCTTTGTCGGCAACGAAGTCATCGCCCTCACGAACCAGTCCATTGCCGCGCCGTACGTCAAGGCCGCCGCTCACGATATGAAGGCCTACCGGGATTCCAAGGGCTATCGCAAAATTCCCATTGGCTACTCTGCTGCCGACATTGCTGAGCTGCGGCCCATGCTCCAGGACTACCTCACCTGCGGCGGCAACGAGGCGGACAACATTGACTTCTTCTCCCTCAACTCTTACGAGTGGTGCGACCCTTCGTCCTTCACCACGTCGGGCTACGCCAGCCTCGAGCAGCAAGCCCTCAACTTCCCGGTGCCCCTATTCTTTTCCGAGACCGGGTGCAACGTCCCTGGCCCCCGCCTCTTTGAGGACCAGGCGTCCATTCTCGGCCCGGACATGGACAGCAACTGGTGCGGCGCCATTGTCTACGAGTGGATCCAGGAGGCCAACAACTACGGTCTCATTTCCTACGGCGACGGCTCTGCCTCTGACGACGCGCCGCGCAGCGGCACCCCCAAGCCCATAACCCCTGATTTTGCCAACCTCAAGAGCCAGTGGGCCACCCTCCACCCCACTGGCGTCAAGAGTGCCGATTACAACCCCAGCTCGGTGTCTACGCGTGACTGCCCGGCCTCGACTGCTGGTGGCTGGGAGATTGATGGCAATGTGCCAATCCCCACCCTCGACAGCTCCATCATTGCTGCTGGCAGCAAGGCCAGCGGCGGCGGCGCCAGCTACACCCTCGCCACGGCTACTGCCACCGGTGGCGCTGCAGACAAGACGTCCACCGGTCCCAGCTCCAGCACCTCGTCTGGCGCCACTAGCTCCGCCAAGAGCTCGGCTGCGTCGCTCTCGCCTAAGAGCCTGAGCGTTTTCAACCGCGAGTTCACGGTTGCTGGTGCCGCCCTGGTCGGTGTCATGATGGTCTTTACATTGTGGCTGTAAGCCCGTTTGCATGAGTGGTTTCGCTCTGTGTCATAGTTTTGACCATGTCTCTTTATTCTTTGCCACTCGTCTTCATTTTGCATTGTTTTCGTTTTGTACTTTTTGACTACGTCTCTTAATATTTCTGTACATATCTTTTTTGTTTCTCATTTTCTTGTACTCACCATACATGTGTACATATACAATACCCCGTCTATTTTCTTCTCTTTCTTAGCATACACGATACGTTGGAAAGGAGCAGTTGGCCGCCCGACCAAGAGGAAGCATAGAACAATAGAAACAAACATATCCAAATAATTGTAGCGTCTGGTACCCTCTTATGCTTGTGTTCCCATTCCTATCAATGCTGATGTATATGGTCCTTTTATATTTCCTTTTTTTTTCGAAGGGAGCCGCAAAATTTTGTTTCTTTGAAAAATATAAAAGGAATAATTGGGTAAAAAAAAAATAACATGTAATAAATTTTATTATAAAATACAAATTTAGAAAACGAAAAGTGGCTTTATCATTCGGCATGCAAAAATCAGGACCAGCCTCAAGGGTATAAATCGCATGGCCAAAGAAAATGCACAACACAAAGTCCATCTAGGTATCATCAAATGAATCCCGTCTCAAATACCGAAATAAAATAAACGTAAAGTCTACATCCCCGGCCCCGGAATAAACAGCGAAACAATGGTCAATGACATTGACGCTAGACCGGCCCAGAGTACAGCACTCCACACAGCTCGGTTCTGCAACGCCCGCACGCCTGCATGTTGCACGGCCACTGTACGGCTGCCTAGCCCGGTACTGCTTGTCGGCCGGAGCTCAGAAATCAGGCGGCGGTAAAATGACATCCGTCTCTGCCGACGGGCCCATGGTTCGCTGTCAGGGTCGTTGCGTGGGCCTAGGGCCTGAAGGCTAGCTTTGCGGAGAGGATCGATACGGCTGGACGTGGAACTGGTGGATGCTTGGTGACGGTGGCCACGATGGTACCGCTTCGGGCTGTTGCTGCTGTCGCTGCCGCTCCGTCCCGACATATCCTTTTCCAGATCAATCGAGTAGGTAGACATGGGCGAAGGGGACTCCTCGTTGTCATCTCCGTCGACATCGTCGTCGTCCTCGATTTCCCATGGACGTAGCAGCCGCTGACCACGAAAGTGAAGAAGCAAGTCAATCTTTCGCCATGCCGCCAGCAGTACTGTCAGTGCCGGCCACCAAATGGCCAGGCATGTTAGCCGGGGAAGGCTCTTGGTCAAGTCTACCATCATCCCGGAAGGCGAGGAGCTACTCTTGCCACTGCCCCCGAGCAGGATCAAGATGATGTCCAAAGCCACACCAACAAGGAACAAAACCAATGCCATGATTTGCACAAATATCAGACGCGGTGAGCCCTTGTCGATATTGCCGACACACCAGTTGCGGACAAACATGGGGAACGATTGTTCCCGGAGGGCCGAATCGGCTGCTAAGAAGGCTGGGAGAAGTGCGGATGGGTGGGTGGTGCGCTTTGCGGCTCGAAAGCAGGCATCACGCTCAGGTGGAAATAGGTCAGGGAGTGGACGGTCGCCCGTGGCGGCAATATAATGCCGAACAACACGGCCAAGCTCGTCACGGAACGGCTGCAGTGAGTCAGGCTGCACCTCCTGCCAGTCCATAGGTGGTGAAGAAACACCACGAGGTAACACCATGGATGGGCTGATCTCACCAGACCTGGATGGTCCATGCTTTGGCATTGGTGCCTCGACAGCTGATATGGGTTCTGTTGCCTCGGGAAGGTTTTCGAGAATTGTGAGGATATTTGTTAACTTGGCATTATCGGACCGTTGGTGGATCGAAGCTGCCACGCGTGAAGATGTGGAGAGGTGCGAGGAGACGCTCGCCATGGAGGAAATAGACGTTGCCGTCGCTGTGCTGGTCACCGAGTTGGTCCGTGGTTTATACTGGCCAATTGCTCCGTAGGGATAGTCCGCAAGGCCGGTGTCGATGCTGAGATTATGCCTACCATGGCTCCGATTACTGCTCGAGCTAGGTCCTCGGCTGTGTAGGACGTGTTGTTTGCTGTTGGCAGAGACCGTTGGTGGTGGTAGATGTATCGATGAATTAGGTATTGGTACCGTATCGACAACGGATGCATTGGCAGTGGCTGTTGCTGCTTCTGCTTCTTCCTGGGCGGCTTCTGCAGCCTCTACCGGACCCCATACGGGAGCCAGCTGCCGTTGTTGCGGCGGAAGCCGACTCCAACGCTCGATATAATCACAATACCATAGAAAGAACTGTAAGTTCTCAGCACGGCGCTCCACATAGTAGAGATAGTCCATGAAGCCGTTGAGATCGCATGGCTAGGTGTTGTTAGCAAAGTTCTCATGCCAAACGATGTGAGTAGAGTGATGATTCGATTCATACCTGCATGGACTTGTTCTGAACTGTACTTGCCAATGATATATCAAGGCTGGCTTCTCGGCTGTGATTTTTCGACCTCCGCCGGTTGTGGCTTGGGGAAGCCATGGAAATAGAGTGGTAACGGTGTTGGTTTTTTGAGAAGATTAGGCCTATAAAGGGAAACAGTGTGACGTGAGGCAAGTTGTAGGTTTGATCAGAAGACCTCTTAGAATACTTAATATGGAAAAAAGAAGAGATTAGACAGTAAGAAGAGAAGCGGAAGAGAACAGAGAAAGGAAGTAAGAAGGAACCCAGGATGATCAAGAGAGGGTGCTGGCTGATGAGTATATACACCTCTCGTATATACTACAGAAACGGGGACAAAAGACTGCCTGTGTGTAGGGGGGGGAGAAAATTTTGCCCTTCGGGACAGGCAGACTGATTGGCAGTTCCCAGATTTGCAAAACTGCAGCGAGGCCGAAGAAACTGTGACAGAACCAAACTTTGGAAAAGGTGATGGAGCAAGTACACAGTCGAAGCCACAAACGCATCGAGTTTGGTCAGGCTAAAAGGATGAGCGAAACTTTGCTTTGCTTAGATACTAGAACAAGGGAACGCGGTTTTTTTGTTGTCATGCCCGAGAAGCGCGTGGCCACGTCTTGTGTTTCACTTGTGGCAGTTGCTGTTGATGCAGGGTCGTGATGCGAGGGCTGTGAGAAGGGGTGGACCATGGATTTAACAGGTATGATCGAAACAGGAAAAGATCGCGTTTTGTCAACATAGAACAAAACCGGCGAATCACTGTACGCACTGTCGGTTTGCCTTCCGAATGCTGCGTGGGGTATGGAGGGGAGATAGGGCAGAGAGAATATGAGAAGCAAAAGTATGTGCCGTCGATCGATTTGTCAACCTGAGACCAACGTCGTGCTTTGGTTCTTGCGTTTCTCGCCCAACCCCCTGGCAGCGGCCGTGCTTCGTACCCGTCCACGACCGGGGTGCAGAGGGGATGGAGCTCAGTAGTTGAAGCAGATAAAAACTGCCCGGGAAGAGAAAGGAGAGGCATCGTATCGGCAAGGATGACGAAAGAGGAGGGAAGCCACGCGAGACTTGTAAGGTCCGAGACACGAAGAGCCAAGAAATAAAAGGACTTCAACGAACAGGGGGTGATAACTTTGTGACGATTGAGAGGGAAAGGTATGGGGGAAGTCATGGGCTGAGCGGTGGGCCTCAGAAGATGTTGTCGGAGGGCATGGGGATTGCATGTGGTTATCGAGAAGCGGTGGTGGACGTGTGATAGATAAAAATAAGAGGATAGGGGTACAATCTAATGCGAATTGTACTTGAAGTTGTCCAAGTACGTGGATCTTGGGCTGGTGCGCAAACACAAATGGGTGGGAAAGTGCAGGCTGGCGTGAGGCTCTGTCTGCAGGCCGACCGGGAAGGAGGGAGGGGGATCGATGGGACCTTCATGCAGGACTTGCGTCAGGTACGGATACGACATCAAATACCTTGCGTGGTGACTGGTGACATGGAGCGCTCTTGCCGTTTTGCGATTTTGCGCACAGATGTTTGCCACCAGGGTGTATGGCAGAGTTCTGGAGAGGGAAGGAATTCGCAACGTTGCTTCCTTGCGTGATTCAAGATACTCTTGGGAAAGAGCGACTACGCAGTTGCCTCACTGGTCCCTCGACAGGTCTCAAAAACAGCAAGAGCCGAGTAACCAGGAAAGGTACTGCATATTGAGTCTGTTGTCTGCAAGGCATTTATTTCCTTTCTCCCTCGCTGTCATGCCTTTCATTAATACCTTTTCTCTCTACCCAATCGCTGTCACGACACGAGTTAAGGCTGATTGCACTCCAAACGGGACTTACCAGCCGGTGAAGAAGCCTGGTACACGCGTGCTAGGATGCGTTTTGGAAGTTTTGTTTTTATCGTGCCGCCGCAGTGTCAGATTTCTTAGCTCCTATGTTTTCTTCTCTCACCATAGGACCTGCGAGTTTCTCCTCTCTTCTCTCTGCTTTCCCATACCCAAGAACCCTCTCTCTGACATCTACCCCCCATGACTTACTACCGGGGTTGTGGTCTCTCCCGCGTTGGCCGCGATGCACTGTCACGTATCCACAGTGCGGGAAGGGCAAGGTACGTCTCCGTCACGTTTATTTCGGCATGACAAAAGCACCACACCCCAGGCGAGGATCACAAGAAGACTTTCCCTGCCCTAAGAGTGGGTGCAGAGGAAATTTATTGCAAGCCACAACGGTTAATCTCTTTCTGCTCTTGCGTTTCAGGTGTACGTCTAGCGCATTAAGTGGCGAAGGAGAAACTCGCAGGTCCTATGGTGAGAGAGCAAAACATGGAGCAAGACATGGAGCACTCTCGTTCTCCATTTTCGTCATCGACTCTGGTCAGCCATTTTCCTCATTGCTTTGTATTTGTCTTCCCCTTTGCCAGCCTTGCGAACTGCCTAATCGGGAAACCTGTTTGATATTACAGAGGCGAACTACAACAACCCCGATGAGACACTTGGCTCTCCGGAAGTAATAATGATATCGATATGATAGTACTTTGCCAGAATACTTGTCTATAAGCATCCACTCGTCCTCCACTACCGGGAAATGGCTGGTGTCAGTTCTTTCTTTCCCCGGTGTGGTTTGCTCGACAAGTATTGACTCTTCCACATAATTTCGCCAAGCCGTATGAGATATGACCTATTTAGCCAGTACGATTATCGCTGTCAGAACCGACAAGTCCATCAGCAAGGGTTGGCGATCGGCCCATATATATCATTATTTGCCATGCTCTTCTATTTTCACCACCTTCTTTGCCCTGGTGCGTGGGAAGCCGCCCTTTGAGACGTAGATCATCCCTTCGTCCTAGACTTCCGTCGTGCTGCGCCGCTCTCACGTTTGACACTGCTTAATATGTTTGTGAGCGCCTAGAGAAACGAGAGAGGCGGGCCTACTACTTACCAAGCTCGGCCAAGATTGTTGTCACTATTTTTTGGGTTTGGGCGCCACAAGGCGAGCGCCTGACCAGTCGGGTCACAGAGATCGACAAGTTGTCACCCATCCTGGGCTTTCGCACTTCATTGTGAAGCATCCGTATTTCTTCGTATCCTTCTCGGTTGGTTAGATCCGGACAAGGAAAGGTAAAGTCTCAAGGGATCTTAAGAATGGGTCCTGGCAATCGAAGAGCTGAGATCAAAGGGGCTGAAGTATACGACAAAAGAGCGAATCACCCAAAAGTGAGGCTTTCCAACAGGAACCAGTCGACTCCACGTCAAATGACTCGTGAGACGCCATAGTGAAACTGCAAACAGGTGGGTGGTGTCCCCAACTTCTCAGACTTGTATTACGACTATGCTTTTGCCATTTGCTGCCGTAGTTCCGTCTCCCTACGTCTTCAGCAGCAAAACCCCGAAATGGGATAGAGCACAGCATTTTCCTGGTCTAGGAAATGGCGGCTGAGACCGACCAGGAAACGTCATCGACTCACGATTCAAAAGCCAAGCGACATATGTTGTACTCGATACTTTTGTATGTGGGCTGGTCTCTTGGAGACGTCCCCTGCAGTCCTGTTTTCTGGGCCCTTGTTTCAGGCGGCTTCATGCGCCGTGGGATGTCAGGAGATCGCCACGTCAAAGTAGACTTGAATCGAGGAAAAGAAAAGCCTCCGGAAAGGCTGGCTCCCAACTTCCTTGCAGACACGGAAAGTCACCTCACGGGCCATGCTGCCGTCGCCCGAAATATGGCTACGTGCCAGGAGTCTTGGACGACCCGCGACGCGCTTTAGAGTTGTGGCGAGGACGGCAGCCATTCGTGTTCTTGTCGCGGTGCGGCAAAATGTACTGAAACTAAGTAAAAGAGCGTGGCACCAAAAAAAAGAGTCCCCCCGACTCAGGAAAGACCTCAAGTCAACACCCCGTGATGGCCAGCTGCTGTCGCGTGCCTGCCACACGAAACACAGGTGTCGTTATCCCCATACAGGTTCCAGCTGTGGCGGATTGGTGGGAGCACTTTCCTCATACCGAGCTGGCCGACTCTCCATGTACCTTGAATTATGGGTCTCGTGGAAATTGTGGGGCTTTTGCCAGCGTTGATCTCAGCCCTGGTAAACCGCCCCGTCAATTTACTAGGCACGATCTGGCTGCTAAGCAAAGCAACGACCAACGGCAATCGAAACACATCCTCATGGACGAGCTCGGTACAGCACGAGGCGGCACTTGACAGGAAGGCTGGACTCGAAACAATCGAGCGACTGAAACAATACGATATAGACACGGCCAGGTGTATTGGGCTCTGAGTCGCCCGGGCTCTCTTTTTGCTTGCCCTCTCTCGGATTGCCTTTCGCGCCTGCATGGCGAGGGCTCGTCGGCTTGAGGAGGACAACGGGAGCGACAACCACGAGGGCATCGAATTCAACATCAGAGGGGACCGCAGCTCCGAAGACAATATGGCACTGCGCGCCGACGAGCAGCCGCTGCTCCATGGCGACGGCGAGGACGGTGGCTTGCTCGGGGGCAACACCGTCGCCCGCGACGACATTGATGGGCTGCCCAAAGACCCCGCTGATGGCGAAGAAGGCGGTGCGGCCACAGCGGGCCTCTTCATCTGGCTGCTGACGCTCTCGGCTGGGCTCAGCGGGCTCCTCTTTGGGTACGACACAGGTGTCATCTCGGCCACGCTCGTGTCGATCGGCACCGCGCTTTCGGGCCGCGACCTGACGTCGTTTGACAAGTCCATCATCACGTCGTCCACTGCGCTCTTCGCTCTTGGGACCTCGCCCCTTGCATCGGTGCTGGCCGACACGCGCGGCCGCCGACACGTCATCTTTGCGGCGGATGCGCTGTTTGTTATCGGCGCGGTGGTGCAGGCCGCAAGCAGCTCCGTTCCCGTCATGGTCGTCGGGCGTTCGGTGGTGGGTGCTGCCGTTGGTGCGGCTAGTTTTGTCGTGCCTCTGTATATAGCCGAGGCGGCGCCGGCGGCCCATCGCGGCCGTCTCATCACGGTCAATGTGCTGTTTATCACGCTGGGCCAAGTGATTGCCTATGTGCTGGGCTGGCTGTTGGCGGCGTACGCAGACCCGCGTACGGCATGGCGCTGGATGGTGGGACTGGGGGCGGTGCCCGCGCTGCTCCAGGCAGTTCTGGTGCTTTTGGTGCCCGAGTCGCCGCGGTGGCTGGTCAAGGCCGGGCGCACGGCTGAGGCACGGGCTGTGATCGGTCGTGTCCACGGTGGCCACGGACGTGCGGCTGCCACAGCTGCCGCATCGTCCATTGTCAAAACAATTGAGACGGAAGTGCGCGCCGAGGCCGAAGCCCAGCGAGTGCGCAAGCAAGCACGACGCGTGCCGACGACGGCCGGCGAACGCGAACCATGGCGCTTTGTGCCCCGCTGGCTGCGCGCCGACGGCGACACATGGGCCGCTCTGCTTGGCGTGCGCCGCAATCGGCGGGCGCTGGCCATTGCGTGTCTGCTGCTGGGCCTGCAGCAGCTCTGCGGTTTCAACTCGCTCATGTACTTCTCTGCCACCATCTTTACGCTTGTCGGCTTCGACCAGCCAACGCTCACAGCGCTCACGGTGGCCGCCACCAACTTTGTTTTTACAGTGGCGGCGTTGTTGCTGGTCGACCGCATCGGCCGCCGACGTGTGCTGCTGTACTCGATCCCGCTTATGGCCCTGGGTCTGTTGCTGGCCGCCTACGGTTTCTCTCGTCTCGATTTGTCCGTGGGCGACACCAACAAGGGCAGCACACCGCCCCCGTCTTCGTCGGCTGCCTCGGTCGTCCTGGTCAGCATTGTGCTGTACGTCGCTGCCTACGCGATTGGGCTGGGAAACGTCCCCTGGATGCAGAGCGAGCTGTTTGCGCTCGACGTGCGATCGCTCGGCAGCGGACTGGCTACGGCCACGAACTGGCTGGCGAACTTTGTTATTGGCTTGACCTTTTTGCCACTCATGGACGCGCTCACGCCCTCATGGACGTTTGTCCTGTACGCGGCCATCTGCCTCGCCGGCTTTTGGTTGGTCCGCGTCTGCTACCCGGAGACGAGCGGCCTTAGCCTCGAGGCAGCGGCGAGCTTGCTGGATGCGGATGATTGGGGCGTCGGTCGGCGGCGACGCTCACGGGCGTGAGTTATACTAGATTTGGTGTCTACGGAGTATTATTCCATGTATATATGTAAACCACATCGATTGGCTATTTCGTCTTTTTGAATACCGTTGTCCCAGAACAAGGCGGTATTAACGTCACTCTTACGCATCAGTCAGGTAGGGCTAAAATAGCAGTGATTTTCTCCCCTACAACTTCTGGTATTATCCCACCTAGAACACACCTATGTTCACCCCGTCTCAATTTTCATAACAGTGTTCCTCGGTTCCTAGAAACCGAGATGAGAAAGCATAAAAATAGTAAATAAAAGGATCATAGCCCGCTAACGTTTTGAAAGACACGTGGGCCGACGGGTTATCCGCGGAGTGGGCTCAGTGGAGTGTTGAATTTTTCAGCAAGGGATTCGGACATTACAACTGCCTAGACCAATTCGCTCAGCCTATCTGCCTGCGTCTGCAGTGTGATGTCACTCGCCAAAGGACGCACAGTTTCGGCGGCCTGGCCCCAAAACACCGAAACGCCCAAGCGCTTTTGAGCTTGGCCACCTCGGCCCACGGAAGTTGTTGGAGGAGGCGAGGCTTCCCCAAAAGCAGTTAGCTAGAGCTTAAAGCACGGAGTAAAAAAAAAAAAAAATGAAAGCGATAACGACGGAAATATGGGAAATGGGCCTTTTCAGCTTTGTGGTTCCATCACAGTTGAGTTCCCTTGGCAGGCTCGTGTTCCTGAGTCAACTGACACGAGCTGGTTAAACACGATCTTCGATGTTTACAATTACTGTCGTACTTACTGGTTCAATCGCAGACGTCTGAAGACGAGTTTCGCTTTAAACAATTCGTTGACCAGACGCGGACGGCAAGGTGTTCGGGATTGCAAATACAGACCGGGAAGATGTTTCGAAGGAAGATGCTGTGCAATAAAACACGCGGCAGCCTAGCGCCGTCGCCCATCAGGCGAGACAAGCGGCGAGAGTGGCCACGGCACCTGGGTGTTGAGAGCGCCGATATGGAACAAAACCGAGAAAGTAAATAAGTATTGTGGGTTTAATGCGGTCGAAGGTGGATCGGGGTCGGCCTTTTAAAATTCAGGAGGTGGAGTGTTTACAGATATCGGCTCCCATGGATAGTGGGCACGAACGACCATCGCAGAGAAGTCACAGGATGGGGAACCGCCGAAGCAGCAAAACCACAAAACAATCTTCAGAGGGCAGCTCCAGTGTCTGCCAAAGAGCGAATGCGAAAAGTATATCGTACACACCCGTCCGTCGTATGTCCAACAAGAGAATGTATGACATACAGTGTGCCATTGAGTGATGTGACTCGAACACACTCCTTACCTGCGTCATCGTCGGAAACGATAGACAGAAGTTGCTTTAAATTTAACGTCGACGGCGAGAAGGCGATGCCTGGCATCCGTCGTATTGATAATCACGCTCAGGCGCCTCGGGCGGTCTCTAAATATGATCCATGCCCGAGCTCAAATGGACCTTTGAGCGGACGCCCGAAGATCATGAACAGCAGCCGGATTTAGCATTCACCGGAATACACGGGACGTGAATGGAAACAGGAAACAGGTGGGCTCATGGTGGTTTACATATTTTACACTTTGAGCTTCTTTGATATACGACGACGGCAGCAAGAGGATTTGGTGGCTGTGTCAGCGGCCTTCCACGGACGCGGCTGCCCGCTGCAGTCTAGCTCCCGGACAGGGGACAGGGGGGGCGTCAGTGGAGTCATCCTGGCGCAGGACAAGCCCGAAAGCACGAAAGCGCGAGCTTGTTTTGTCATCTACGCCTACAAAACGACACTCTAAAAAAAAAATCACATACGGACAGCTTGAGTGGGGCAATTGTCGCCGCTGAATGGAAGTTCGGTGCGACGGAGCATTACTCGAGCACTAAGAAGGCGCGACCGATGATGCCCAGCACGATCACAGGAAACGCCAATCGATGCAATTGTCGCATGGAAGACAGCAGCAAGATGGCCAGCACAGTGAAGACGGTGAAAAAACGAGTTGAAGATGGAAAGATATGAAAAGAACTGAGACAGGCCCGCCACAGTAAATGATTAGGGCCCATAGACATAGATCGGGGGAGAGGGCATCAACACCACACAGTCACGGATGGGTCGCCACCGAACTAATGGGCATGCAAATGTCCGGCAGGTGCGTTCGAGCCTCTATCACGTAACGGAAGGAACAAGTGCCAGAAGAAGTAGGAAGAAGCAAAATCCATCGTACTAGGCCCTGCTGAAAAAGCATCGGGCCACCACTGTCGGTAGTTCTTTCTCAAGGTGGCCAGGCCGTGTTCTGCACACCCTTTCTGTTTTGGCGCTGGCCCCTCCTTTGTTTTCTTCCCTTCCTCTTGAGGCTTTCGTACTTAATGTCCGCTTTCCCGTTTTCCATTTTCATATCCATTTACATCTCCCCTCTTCTGTTCATCGATCCAATTCCACCACTTGCTGTCGCTTTGTCCTCTCGACAGTCCTGCCACACGTAGGTTGCTCTTGTTTACATACTTTAAAACGCCGAGACCCGAATTCCAGAGGAAATTAAGTGCCCGCTGGCCAAGCCCACCCAATTCCCCTTATTTTCTTGCTATCCGTCTCCTTTTGGAAAGCAATTGTGCCATTGTTTTGGCTTGTCCTTTTCGAGCTCTTTGTTTCCCTCTTCTCTCGATTTCTGTTCCATTTGTTGTCGATTTCGATCTCAAAAAGACAACGGCATTGTCTGACACCCGTGGCGCCGTCATACCATAGTCCGCCCCCCAAAATCTCACAGCTACTCCCGCATCTACGTCATCGCCGACTCCGAATCACAACAGCCCATTGGTAGTATTGCACAGCGGCCGTCGACTGCCATCCACAGCCATGGCCAACATCGACGACGATTTTATCGCCGCCGAGGAGGAAGCCTCCCCCAGAATGTTCCCCGAAAGGCGGCGCTCCAGCGTCACGCGCCATCGCGACGACCTTGAGCGTATCCCGACCGCCACCTCCTCTTCGTCGTCGTCTGTCAGCGACAATGTCGCTGCCCGCCAGCGTTCGGCTGCTGGCCCTTCGGGCCTCGACCGCACCCGCAGCGAGCTCGAGATTGAGCGCCAACAAACCCACTTGCAACGCATCCAGACTGCGAGGAGTCAGCACAGCGGCACCGTGGGCCGCAGCCTCACAAGCCGCCGCTCCCAGAAGCCCCTTCCGGCTTTCGGCGAGGGCAAGCCCTATCCGCCGCCGATGCCCGACCAGGAGCAGTACGTCGTCGAGTTTGATGGGCCGGATGACCCGCTGCATGCGCAGAACTGGCCGATCAAGAAGAAGTAAGTGCTCCACGGCATACCCGCTTTTGGCAGTTTTTGGCCATTGTTGACTGACACTTTGTCCTCCTAGGGTTTTCACTGGTGCCTTTTTGGGCTTTACGACAATGACGTCCGCCTTTGCCTCGTCCATTTTCTCCGCTGCCACAAGCGCTGTTGCGAGGGAGTTTGGCGTGTCGATGGAAGTCGGTATTTTGGGGGTGTCCTTTTACGTCCTGGGTTTCGCCTTTGGTCCCACCCTCTGGGCGCCTCTTTCTGAGCTCAAGGGCCGTCGTCTGCCCATCAACATCTCCATGTTCGGTTTTATGGTCTTCTCGTTCGCCGTCGCCACCGCAAAGGATCTTCAAACTGTGCTTATCTGCCGCTTCTTTGCTGGTTTCTTCGGTGCTTGCCCGTTGGCCGTCGTCGCCGCTATTTTCTCCGACATGTTCAACAACCGGACGCGAGGTATTGCCATCACCATCTTCTCGATTGCTGTCTTTGCTGGTCCTCTGCTGGGCCCCTTCATTGGTGGCTTTATTACGCAGTCGTACCTGGGCTGGCGCTGGACCATGTATCTTGCCGGCATCATGGGCGCTACCTGCTTCTGCCTGAACATCTTCTTTCTCGAGGAGACCTACCCGCCCGCGATTCTGGTCCAGAAGGCCGCTGACCTGCGCCGTCGCACCAAGAACTGGGGCATCCACGCCCGCCAGGAGGAGATTGAGATTGACTTCCGCGAGCTGATCAACAAGAACTTTTCGCGCCCCATGCGGCTGCTGTTTGGCGAGCCCATTGTCCTGCTGCTGTCCATCTACATGTCCTTTGTGTACGGAATCCTGTACCTGTTCCTGACGGCCTATCCCTTTGTCTTCCAAGGCGTGCATCACTTCTCGCCGGGTGTTGGCGGTCTGCCGTTCTTTGGCATGATCGTCGGCCAGGTGATTGCTGGCATCACCATGATTCTGCAGCAGCCGTGGTACAACCGCAAACTCAAGGCCAACAACAACGTTCCCATCCCCGAGTGGCGTCTGCCTTCTGTCGTTGCCGGCGGCGTTGCTTTTACCGCTGGCATCTTCTGGTTTGGCTGGTCCGGCTACCGCAAGGACATTCACTGGATCGTCCCCAGCTTGTCCGGCATCCTTACTGGTTTCGGTCTGATGTCTATCTTCTTGCAGTCCCTCAACTACCTGATCGATGCGTACCTCATGTTCGCCGCCTCCGCCATTGCCGGCAACACGTTTATGCGCTCGCTGTTTGGCGCTGGTTTCCCGCTCTTCGCTACCTACATGTTTAATGGCCTCGGTATCCAGTGGGCTAGCACGCTGCTCGGTAGCGTCGGCGCCGTGCTCATTCCAATTCCCGTTATATTCCTGATTTATGGCCACCGGATTCGCAAGCACAGCCGCTTCGCGCCTACCCCTCCGCCCCACGCAGCCGCTCCTGCGGCCGCCGCCGAAGACGAGGCCGACGGCGAGGGCAGTGCCAGCGCGGCTGGCAACGTCGAGAAGGATGGTGTGCCCATTGGCGACGCACCGCGCAACGACGTCGAGGCCGCCGCCGCCAACACCAAGAACAAGGCTCTGTAGGGCAGCACCTTTGTGTTGGATGGCGGCTACATCAAAGATGTTGCTATTTCTTTGGCTTAATACTTAATTTGTATTTGTGGACACCGCCACCTGTGCGTCACCGTGTGCACTGCACAGCTTTCTTTTTTAACTCTGGTTCTTTTGTTTCTTGTCGTTTCTGGATTTCTGGGTACGGTGCTTTTTGGTTTTTGGTTTGCATAGAATGGGATTGGATGATACCTTGTGCCTTTATTGGTCTCTTTTGGACATTCCTTTGGCTTTGAATAATATACTATAATATTCTATCGAAACCACCCAAGACCACGCAAAAGACGTGCACGATCGTGATACACATGATACCATGCGTCGTGGTAATAGCACTTGCTGCTCTTTGCCTTCCGTCCGACTCTACAGAGTTGGTATCTGGAGGCGAGCCGAACAGAGCGGGGTCGAGTACCAACACAACCCTCAACAAGTCAATTGGCCGAATGGATCTCAAAGCGAAAAGCGAGGCCCAACGTCGATGCTCTGACCTGGACGCGACACGGTCCACACTCAACATCCGCCCAAGCACGGTGTCCTCATCGTTTCGCCATTCTCAACTTCGAATCAACGACGCTCTACCGCCTCGCTGCGTCGACTTTGGCCGAAACGGGTCTAGTCTGATGTTGCATTTACGGATGGTTCCTAGCAGAGGATTCCCGTCCATCATAAGTACAACATATTTCGTACAGTGCAGTCATTATTGAGCAAAAAAGAGGGTCCTATAGCCGCACTTGGAAGCCGAATCCAACCATGCATGACTCGTTCCCAACCTTCAACCGTTTTTTTTTTTTGTCGTTTCGTTGTCAACAACAATCGCGGGGGAGACCTCTCCCCAAGTCAGGATTGAAAAGTGCTCGACCAAGATGTGCCTTCATGCGCGTAATTATGGCAGGCCTCGGTGCCAATTGGTATTTGGCGATTTGTCCCGGTGTTTCGGTCACTCCCAACAAATAACCCAACCAGCCATTTTGACAACCGCCTGTGCCCCGTGTTATCTTGTTGGTGTTCGAAGGGCGAATACATCCGCACACCTCACAATACAATAAGACGGGTCCACGGAGAATCTCCGCAAGTTCAACTTATTCAGAAACCGGGAATATCGCCGGCGAAACGCTGGAGTCACCCCAAGACATGAAAGACGCTATATTTGTCATCCAGTAGCTAGACTCTGCAAACATGTGGAAACAATTTGCTTCTGGCCTTGCTCGGCTATCCACAGGTTTCGTGTCGTTTTGCACAGCGTCTTGTGGCGCCTCCTTGTGCATCGTGCCGCACTGTGTTCTGCGCTGCGGTTGACAAGTGATGGTTTGAAATTGAGACCTGTTGGCTGGGGCTTCTCTCGGTCTCTCTCTTGTAGTTGTCTGTTTTGTATTTTAATATTTGGCCCGTGGAACTTCCAGAGGCGCAGCCAGGGATTTCGCCCTGCTTTTTAGGATAAAAACAGGAGGAAGACTCGGTGTGGCAGGTCTGCGGATACCAAAACCCGTGATTTTTGTCTTTTAACATGCGTTTCCCCTCCCTTTGTTAGTTGTTGACACCTCGCATCTACAAGACTTTGCTCTTCACTTATACACAGACAAGGTCACGGAAACCAGCATTATATTAAGAGTGCAGCCATCTCTCCTTATTTTCACCTGCCGGGTATTTCGTTCGCACACTCTATTATTCCAACTTATGGAACCGAGACCAGGATCGACATTCGGATATTAGTGGCCGTCTGCTTTCTACTGTCTCTATTTTTATTTTTGCGAAACATTTGAGTCACCGATTTGCTGTCCCATAAAACCCAGATTCCAACACAAATCTGGTTCATTACATCTTGTTTCGACGATCTCGTTGCGTCTTCTCGTTTACATCCACAAATCCACAAACCATTCGCCACAAACACCACGAGACATAATTAGATACAGCAAGAACCATGGCCGACACGACCGAGAAGCCTCGCCTGATCGAGCTCCTCCCGGACTGGCATCCCATTGCCAAAATGCACAAGCGGGCCAAAGCCGCCAAAGACACCACCTCTACGGAGCCCACACCGCCCAGCGCCACCTACCGCGGCGGCTGCCACTGCGGCGCCATCAGCTTCGACGTCACGCTGTCGCCGCCCCTCGAACCGATTCCTGGATCCAGCGAGCCGGGCCACACCGTCGTCAGCTGCAGCTGCTCCGTGTGCCGCCGGTTCGGCTACCTGCTGGTGTATCCGTCCAAAGGCGACGTGGTGTTCAACAACAGGGGCGGTGGTCAGGCGCGGTGCAAGACGTACCAATTCAACCGCAAGTTGCAGGACCACCTGTTCTGCAAGAACTGCGGCTCAAGCGTCATGATTGACTTTTTGGAGCGGTTCGGGCCGGACTGGCATGGGTACGGCATCAATGTGCGGTCGCTGTACAACGTGGACCTTGACGCGCTCAACGTGCTCAAGGTGGACGGCACGAACGGCGTGGCTCCGGCGGGCGACCTGTCCGGACAGTGGTATGTGGAGTCGGACACAGAAGAGTAGAGGGCAAGGTTGGAAGGGAAGAAGACGCAAAGGGAGCAGATAGGTAGGTTCTGGAAAATCGGAGAAGGCGTTGGTAGATGTGAAGTAATTTATCGGTTGGTTCAGTACTTCATGACTCTTAAAGAGAAATATATTTATGGCAAAGAAATACGGTATGGAAATGACGATTATGCCTCCTCTATGGGGATGTCTGCTTTTATGCGCCTCCTCTATCAGTCTGTGTCTCTTTCTTCCATTCGTTTTATGCACCCTTTATGGCGCCGCTCTGTTGTTCTTTTGTTGCCGCCGCGCATACAGCTGCTCGGCCGACGTGATGCAGTGCATGTTGGCGCCCAGCTTGTTCATCGTCTCCACCCACTCGTCGTACTCGTCGCTGTCAAACACAATGCCGCCGCCCGCCTGCAGATAGGCAACGCCGTCCACCACCACCATCGTCCGCAGCGCAATGCACGTGTCCATGGCGCCGTCCACCGTGGTCACCCCGTCTGCCGCCACGCCATTGTATCCGAAATAGCCCACCGCGCCCGCGTACACGCCGCGCTTCTCGCCCTCCAGCTCCGCAATCAGCTCCATTGCCCGCACCTTGGGCGCGCCCGACACCGTGCCCGCCGGGAAGATGGATCGGAACGCGTCGAACCGCGTGCACTCTGGCCGCAGCACGCCCGACACCTGCGACACTAGGTGCTGCACGTGCGAGAACTTCTCGACCACCATGAGCCGGTCGACGCGCGTCTCGCGCGGGTCGCATACCCGTGTGACATCGTTGCGCGCCAGGTCGCACAGCATGACGTGCTCGGCGCGGTCCTTGAGCGACGACCGCAGCTCCTCGGCCAGCGCCTCGTCCTCCTCGGCCGTCTTGCCGCGCTTGACGGTGCCGGCAATGGGGTGCGTGATGATGCGGCCCCCTCGGACTTGACGAGCAGCTCGGGCGACGCACCGACAATCTGGAAGCGGCCGCCGCAGTTGACGTAAAACAAGTAGGGCGACGGGTTGACGGTGCGTAGGTGGCGGTAAATGTTGAACGGGTGCAGGTCCGTCGGGCGCGCAAAACGCTGCGACGGCACCGCTTGGATGATGTCGCCCTTGACAATGTGCTTCTTGAGCTCCGTCACGTGGTTCATGTAGCCCTCCTTGCCAACATTGGACTTGTACTCGCGGCCGAGCTCGACAAACTTCTGCTCGGGCAGCGGCGTCTCGGGCCCGTTGAGCACACCGATGAGCGTGTCGATCACGTCCGTCGCGCGGCGGTACTCGGTCTCAATGGCGGCATCGTCGTACGTTTCGCCCTCGCCCTCGCCCGCGGGCTCGATGTTGAGGTAGGTGATGACCTTGATGATGCCGAAGAAGCGGTCAAACGCCACAATCGTATCATAGAAGCAGAACTGAGACTCGGGGATCTGCAGCACATCCTTCATCTCACGTGCTGTCTTGGGCTCGAACTGTGGGGCAGATTGTTAGCATGCGGTACGTAGTATCAAATGATTCCACACACGCCACAGAGAAGGGAGGGGTCTCCCACATACATATCGCACACAGTCGTAGGACACGTAGCCAACGGCACCGCCAGCCAGCGGCGGCAGCTGCACGCCGGGCACATGCGCCACAGAGAAGCGTGCCAGCTCGGCCTCGAGCGCCGGCAGCGGGTCGGCGGCCTCGCCGAAGCCGGGGCCCGTCTCAATCACCTTGCGCGGCCCTGCGGCCACAAAACTGTAGCGGCCGACCCGCTCGGTGGCGGCGCTCTCAAACAGGCACGAATACTCGGACTTGTAGTGCTCCGACACTTTGAGATACGCGGCCGACGGCGTGATCAAGTCCGACGAGATTTGGCCGTACACTGGCACCAGGTTGGGCCGGCGGTACGACGAGGCGCTGCCCTTGGCGGCCGCAGCCTTAGCTGTCTCAAGGATGCCGGCCACCACTGACTTCACCGTCTCGAGGGACGGCACGATAACGTCCTATGAGGGTCAGTATGCGAGCAGGAACGAGTGAACGGGGGGCGGAGGTCGAGATGAGGACATACAGGACCGTCCATGGCTGACATGGCACGGGGCACAAATCAACAGCCGCTATGAGATGTGGAGGAGAGCAGATGCAGCGGTGCAATGTGTCTTTTGTTCGGTTCGACGGCTAGTTTATGAGCTGCGTTGTCTACAAGTATGGGAGGGAAAACGGCGAGGAGGGTGAGCGTGGCGGAATCATATGCGACGTTTGGCGGCTGCGATGTGCGGTTAGTTGCGTGAGTCAAAGTGCTGGAGAGAATTGCGTTGCGCCGCCCGCGTATAAGAATATCTCTCGTCCGCCTTGTCGGCCGTCCTTACCTTGCCTGTTTCTTTTGCGCCACCCTTTCCTTTATTATTTTGCTATGTGTTTCATTTATCTATACGAAGCAATACGGTGCAATTGCTACCGCAGTTGCGCTTTCCCAATTGACGTTTTGCAAAAATTCGTTGGCTCTTGCTGTGGTGTTCGCCGAAGTTCTTGAAAGCTCCTTCCCCCAGAGTCATTTGCGGGACCGGACCTGCATTTTTTTCCACGCCAGCAAAAACACGACGTAAAGATTCCAAACCGCCCATTTTATGTTCTAATCGCCTCTGAGCTGGCTCTGAAACGGGCCACCAGACAGCATATAACGGGCGCAGTTGAGCCCCACATCCGGCGACTCTCCAAAGACGTTGGCCAAAACGGGACTAGTGCTATCTGTGCACCGATTGCTTACAAGGATACGGAGAACTGGCTCCGTCTCAGCGTACGCCGTTTGATGAATCTCAAGTTTGCTTTTCTTTTTCCTTCTTTTTCTATTCTTCTTTGCCATTGATACTTCTGCTCTTGTCTGTCAGTTTTGCAAATTTTGTATGGGAGTATCTTTGGTCTCTACATATGTCTAAGGCTAAAGCAACGGTTGACCGTAAACGAGGAAAAAACAAAGAGAAAATCAACAAGGACGCACTCACTTGCTACAAACGCCATCCTTTTTTACTTTTTTTTTTTCTGTCCCCCTTTTCCGCTATATAAAATTGTCCTTCTCACCTACACTCCTCTACACCGAGCCAAACTTCTCCAGGTACGAGTCGTGCAGCTTCTTCTGGCGGTCCCACTCCTTCTTCAACCGCTTCTGTTGCGTCTTGGGAACGTCGCCGCCGTCGGCCAGCTTTGTCGGCAGACCGTCGGCATCCCAGGCGCCAAACTCTGCCGTGTTGTCGCGAAACAGCTCCTGCGGCGGCACTTTGGCCTTGGCCCACTTCTCCTCTTCGGCTTTTTCGCGCGCCCGGGCGGCCTCCTCTTTGAGCCGCGCCTTCTCGGCAGCAGCAGCGGCCTTCTCCTCTCGCGCCGCCACCAGCTTGGCCACGGGCACAAACTTGATCAGGCTCGGACGATCCGGCTGGTCGTCCAGCTGCACGCCGAGCTCGACGAGGTCGTAGTCGCGGATGCGGTCGCTGAGCGCCAGAATCGAGCCCTTCTTGTCCTTGTTGTCCGGGTTGGCGGCCGTGCGGCGCAGCTCGTCGCGCAGGCCGGACACGGCACGTAGGAACGGCAGCGCCAGGCGCTCAATGTCAAACTGACCGGAGGCAGCCGACTGCTTCTCGAGAACAGCAAACTCCGCATCCGGCCGCAGCTCCGACAGCAGCGTGTTGAGCGCTGCCTCCGTGGTCAGGCCCAGCGCTGCAACGTCGCCCTTGACTTTGGCGAACACGCCGCTGTACGGCTGCACGGCCACCTTGGGGTCAACAACACCGCCACCGGCCGACTTGGGCGTCGGGTTGGCGGGGCCCCAGCCAAGACTGGATTCGTAGGGCGGCTGCGCGTTGGGGTCGAGGCCAAAGACGCCGACAATCTTGGTCACCCAACGGGCAACGGCCTCAATGGTCGCAAAGTCCGCGCTGGGCTCGCTCATGGAGACATTGGCGTTGCGGACGAGGCGCAGGATCACTTGCAATGCGCCGGGCGTGTCAAACGAGTTGCGGAGTGCCGCATCGAGGTCGGCCTTGGCCTGCGCGAACTCGGTAGCCAGGCCACCGTTGCTGCTCGCGGCTGCCGTACCCTCGGCCTCGCCCAGCGACACCTTCTGGATGCCGCTGACAACACCAGCCTCGGCCAACCGCGCCTTGACGTTTGTGAAGAAGTTCTATTACGTGAGCATGGGGTCCGGTCTGGGGAGGGGGACGGGGAGAATGAAACTTACGTCGAGCGTGTTTTCAAAACTGCTGGCCTGCTTGCGCATGTCGGGGGAAATCTCCAGACCGTCGTTCCAGCGGCTCAGCATGAAGACGATGCGCATGCTGCGTGCCGTGTAGCCCGTGGCGAGCGCATCCTGGATCGTCTGGAAGTTCTTGAGCGACTTGGACATTTTGGAGCCCGCAATCGACAGGTGGCCCATGTGGAAAAAGTACCGCACCCAGCTGTGCTCGCCGGCGCCTGGACGGTGGAAGAAGGCCTCGCTCTGCGCCAGCTCGTTGTCGTGGTGCGGGAAGGCCAGGTCAATGCCGCCCGAATGGATGTCCATCTGCTCGCCCAGCTTGTCCGACGCCATGACCGAGCACTCAATATGCCAGCCGGGGCGACCGTTGCCCCAGGGACTCGGCCAGTACGGCTCGCCGGGTTTCGACTTCTTCCACAGCGCAAAGTCGCCCGGCCGGCGCTTGCCCGCCAAGCTCTTGGAGAGCGAGCCCTCGCCCTCTTCCTGCAGGGCCTTGTCGTTTTTGCTCTCGGGCCGCAGGCGCGCATAGGTGTTGCCGGCCTTTTCAAAGGCGTCAATGTCAAAGTACACGGACGCATTGGCCTCGTAGGCAAAGCCCTTGGCAAGGATGCCCTCGATAAACGTCACAATTTGCGGCACGTACTCGGTGACGCGCGTGATGGCGTCGGGTCGCAGCACGTTGAGTGCATCCATGTCGTCCGTAAACAGCTGCTCCATCTGCTTCGTTAGGTCGGTAAACATGGTCTGGTCGCTGGTGTCAATGGTCTCCTTGTAGAGCGAGTCGAGGTACGGCAGCAAAATCTCCTCGGCATCGTCAAAAACGGTGCCCCTCAGCAGGCCGCGCGCAGCCGCGTCCATGTTGGCAATGTGCATCTTGATCTTGGCCTCGGCGTCGCCCGGCTTGTCGCCCAGGGTCGTGGCCAGCGTGCCACCCGCCAGGACGTCGCCGTAGGCCAAATAGCGGCGCGCCGCGTAATTTGTCTCGTCCAAAGTCGAGATGCTGTCACTTAGGAGCAGCGGCAGGTTGGCGGTGGCATAGGACGAGAACGCAGCAGTGGCCAGGGCGTGGCGTTCGGCAGGGCCGTAAGGCTTCTGGCGCTCGAGGTCGTAGAGGCGCTTGCGGCGGGCCTTGATGATGATCTTGTCGTCGACGTCCGTGATGTTCATGACGAAGTTGACCTTGAGGTCAAAGTAGTGCATCAGGATGCGGCGGATGACGTCGGTGGACACATAGTTGCGCGCATGGCCCATGTGGCTCAGGTCGTAGACGGTGGGGCCGCACGAGTACCAAGACACAGAGCCGTCCTCCTTGGTAACAAAGGGCACAGCGGCACCGGGCTTGAGCGAATTGTAGACGGAAATGCCGCCCGCCGAGGGCGACACAGAGGAGGCGGCTGTGGACATTGCGGAGTTGAATGAGGCGAAGGGCAGGGAGGTGGTCGTGTTGGCAGGGAAGCTCGAGAGGCAGTACGGTGCGCGGTGAATTGGAGATAGCTGTGCTCGTCGGTCGTGCTTTGCTACGTTGCACAATGGAAGACAGGTCGTCGCCCAGAACGAGGCAATGGGTCGTATTTGTAGCTGAAGACGACGATGTGACGGCGACCGGCGAACGAGGACAGCAGTCAGCCCCGGAGGGTGCATTCAGCAGGGTCTGCGATGTTCGTGGAGGTGACTCACGCTCGCGAGCCACGGTCTCCAATCCGTGTCAGAAATTGCGGCCGCGACGCGTGAGCGGGTGTGTGGGTGGGAATGAGTGTGTGAGTCGTGTTGAATGTCGTAAAGTGGGCGCAGCAATTGGGTGAATCACAACAGGAACAGCCAGAAGGTGGTCTTGCGAAAATGCCAGATTAACGTCGTCTAAATTTGGCGGCGCGGTTGGCTGAGGCTGTCTTGTCCAGGAACCCCGCAAATGGCACAATAGCTGCCCACTATTTCCTTGCGCCTGCCCCCCTCGCTAGCAGATGCTGCTGTACCTTCCGTGCAGGGCCAATAACGCCTGCCGCCACGGCGATTTGATGATCCCAGACCGAAAAGAGACAGTGAGGAACGCCGACTTCCTAATTGGGAAGTGACACATGCGTCTTACACTATGACTCCCTGACGAGAGAAAGAGCAAGGCGCATGAGCCTGCTCTTGCTCTCTTGTTCAACAAAGACTGTGCGTCTTTTGTCGGTGAGCCAGATACGGCAACTTTGGGTAGGAACGACCAACGGCCAGAATGACACAGTATTAGCAGGCACGGTTTGCACAGTATCGCCTGCATTCATGGTACGTTTGAGTCGCAGACAGCCAAGTGTGACTGATAAACGAAATGACGTCCTTTACTTCACATCCAAAAGCAAACACCCCTGGATACGACTATGAATGAATTTCGCTGCATGCCAATGACAATTAACCAAAAATGTGACTGCAAACCTTTCCTATGATTTTCAAACAACATTTCCCGGATTCGTGAGTCTTCGTTCGTTCCTCACTTCTTCTCTCCCTCTGCTTTCAGCCGTGCACGACTCTGCCCTAGACAACCTTCTCGCGGGTATCGTTCTCGCCGCCGCCGTTGCCGCCAAAGTCACCGCTCCAGCCGTAGACGCGAATGGGCACGGCCGCTTCAAAGCTCTCGCACCGCAGCGTCTCGACGGCTGCGAGCACTAGCCCGCCACGGTCGTCTTGTGAGATCTCCTCAAGCATAGGTGGCGGAGGGGGTGCCGCGCGAGGCTGCCGAGGCGGTCGAGGCTGCCGGGACTGCGTGCTGCTGTGCGATGGCCGCAGGCGCGGGCGGCGCTGCCCAGGGCGGTTGGTTTGCGATTCGTCGTTGATGGGCCTCTCTTCATCGCCATCGGCATTGTCGCCGTCGTCGGTGTCATCACCGTCATCGTCCTCGTCCATGTCGCCACCGCTGTTGTGCGCGTACTCCGCTTCGTCCCAGTCATAAGAGTCCTCGCTGTTATTGCCATTGGCAAGACTGTTGAGGTCGGTCTCGTCGTCGGCAGGTACAACAAACTCGACGCGAATCTTCCATTCCAGCACCACACCCGTCGTCTCAAACTCGGGCGTCGCATTGCTGGGAATGGTCGCCGTAAAGACAAAGCGTCGCGAGTACAGCGTGGCTTCTGATAGCGAGGCGTACACTCGGCGCGACGCGCGCTGCACGCTGGCCTCGGACCGCAGCGCCAGTTTGGGGTCCACAATCTTCTCGATTGTCTCGAGCGCCGCATGCACGGCGTGGCAGCGAATCTTGGCATTGGAAAAGTCCACCACCATTGTGATGGTCTCGCCGAGGCGGTAGGCCGGGCGGGCAAGCATGACCGTGGCGACTTTGAGCTTGTTTCGGGAAATGTCAAAGCGGTTGGCGCTCACATTGCGACCGCCGCCGCCGTAGTGGTTGCTGTCGGTGAGGTTGCTGCGCATAATGGCGAGCTCAATGGCTTCGCGACAAGATAGAGACAGGAGCGGCCGACCGTTGTCGTCTGGCAAAAATATCGACGATGCTGTCGACATACGACGCGACCCAGGTAGGACGGCCGTGGGCGACAAGAGACCGCTCCGCGGCTCACCCCCGCCAGCGCCGACCGCGCCAAAGAATCCGTTGGCACTGCCGTCCGTGCTTGCTGCCAACACCTCGGCCTCTCGCTGTTTCAGAAGCTCATCGACGTACATCATAAATCCGTTCATGGTGGGTCCTGTAATTGTGGCCGCGGTCGAGCTCCTTCGTCGCCGCGTTGCCAGCTGCTGGGGCGGCAGCTGCTGCTGCTTCTGGGCCCCAGGCGGTGTCAGTGTCCACGGTCTGCTGAGCTCCTTCTCCGAGACTGTCCGGACGGTAGCAGAGTTCGAGCTGGTCTCGGGTGAGTAAGGACTCATTAAGTTGTGGCCCAGAATTTCGCCGTAGCCGTTGACGCTGCCGAGGACACGGAACGGGAAATCGATTGAGGTGACACGTTGTTCTTTGGCAGTTCCAGGCCGCTGTGTGCCAATCACAAGCGAGTAGGAGATCTTCATGACCTTACCGCGATGCGACGGCGGTAGACCCTTGGGCAACTGGAACACGTATTCGTACGTTTTGCTCTCACCCGGTGCCAGCTGCAGGTCGGCGAACAGCACCGATTGTTGGGTAGCAAGCAGCGGAACAGACTTGGAGCTTGCCTTGTCGCGCATCTCTTTGATGGTGCTAAGCTCACCCGCGCCGAGGAGATCGCCAATGGACGTCGCCAAGCTGCCCCAGCCAAATCCCCTAAGCAGGCCGCTGTCCCGTTTATTATTCTTGAGACCGACCACACCACCGCCCTGGCCGCCAACGACGCCTTTGCGCTTCACCTGCTCAAAGGGACTCAGATCGACAAGGGACCCATCAAGTGTGAACGAGCCCTCGATTTGTGCGTATCCCATCATCAGCGTTTCCGGTGCAACCGCGGCGGCTGCCGAGGCAGCAGATGTCCTCGCGCGTTTTGATAGACTGCGGGACAGGTGGTGACCTTGGTGCTGCAATAGCTGCTGCTGCTGCTGGCCGTGCGTCTGCGGCGAGAGTAGGTTGGAGGAGGACTTTTGCCGTGTGTGCGGTGGGCGGCCCGGTTGTGACCGAAGCGCTCCTGAATGTGTGGGTTGCTGGGACAGGTACTCGGAAGCTAGCGTCTCGGTAGAATGGTTGCTCAGCGAGTAGAATTCGCCACTACTACGCGGCGTGCCCGCGATGCTAGTCGTGGAAAGGACGCGGGCCTCGGACGGCGTGGCAGGCCCCTCGTAAATGGTCGGCACCTGCGTTGGCGGGGCACCTACGGCGTTGTGACTGGCGTGGTTGTTGGATCCGTCTCTCGACCGTATTGGAAGCGCTGGCAAGGGCTTATCGTTGGGCGACGTCGGCGTGGGAGAGGTCAGCAACGGACCGTCAATGGGACCTTGTGGGTTTGATGGGTTTGTTGGTGGGGGCGCCATTGGGAACTTGAAGTCGGAGAATCCATCGGATGGTGACCGTGACAATGAACGCGGCATACCGCCGACGCTCGGCGTGTTAGGCATAGTTGCCGAGCCCGTCAGGCGGCCGCGGATAGCTGTGATGTTGCCGCTTCGGTCGGAGGGTGGGAAGGAGGAGTTGAATAGTGGCGATGGATTGTTTGAGTAAGGACGAGGGGGGTTGGTGGCTGTCACGTAGGTTAGTACATAGCAGACGTGTAGAATAGCGAGCTGCTGACATTGGGAGACGCACCTGACCGGGGTCCGCCGCCATAGTACGAGCCTCTCGGCCCAATCTGCAAGCTGGAGGCGCGCGAATGTCCACGCACAGGACGGTGCTGCGAGCCAGCTGGCCCCGATGGATGCTGTGGTGGTCCAGTGGGCGACCGAGATGGGCCGTCTGAGGCGCCGGCGGAGGATAAAGAGACAATCGAAAGTGAGCGGCGGTGGTTGCCATGGCCTTGGCCTTGGCTACTGGAACTACCGCCGTTTCCTGCCCCATTGTTTCCGTTGACGCTGGCATTGCTGCTGCCGCCATTGCTCGCAGCACTGCCGTTGGGTGTCCAAGGAATCGAGTCAGCTCGTCGGCGCGACGCGGCTGCGGCAGCGGATGCGGATGTCGACGATGCAGATGGAATGACGACGCCGGTGGCCGGCCCGCTAAGAGAATGGCTTGCGCGGTGGTGGCCGCGGCCCATGGGAGCTGGCGGAGCCAGTGTTTGTGAAGATGAGGATGGAAGTCGTGCACGCTCAGGGTGGTAGCTGTTTGACGGGGGGCGAGAGGACGAGGACGAAGCCGGTTGAAGCTGCTGTGGATGCGGCAGCGGCTGCTGAGGCTGCGACGCCACATTTGCAAAGGTGATGCGGCACCGCACGTCGTCACCGCCAAATATGGTGTTTTCGTACCAGCGCACGGAGACGCGGATGTTGCTCGAGCTGCCAGGGCCACCGCCGTTGCCCAGGCCGAAGCTCATGTCCCGCGCCATGGCGGGCTAACCGCCTGGCGTTCAGAGCTGCTTCGGGCCCTTCGCTTGTGGACGCCTCTTAATGCCGCGTCGTTACCGGTGTCTCTCGGAGCTTGCGTTGTTTGTTGATCTCGGAAACAGAGGTGCAGACCGTAAAGAGACACTGACGGAGAGCCGCACGGTTATGGACATGAAGGCCACATTGCGCGTGGACCCGGGAACGGAAATTCGAGGAAAAGGGGGAGGGGGAAAGAAGGTCCTGCACCGAGAGGATAATCGAAACTCGCTGTGAATAATGTAGAGATGCTTCTACAAATGGTATTGCTAATTGCTTCGTAGCCGTCGTCGCTGTCGATATCGCCGATTTTGCTGTTGTCAGCTGTTGGGGATCGGCCGTTGCAGTCTGTCGCAGGAAAGGAGGAAAGTGTGAGGTTGGGGAGCAGGGAAGGTCCGCCAGCAGGGGAGGAAGGATCGAATGGCGGGTAAGCTTGCGGGCAGGGGAAGTGAGAAGCGTTACAAAGTGGTCAGCATTGGAGGCAGTGATACGCTAATCCGAATTGGGTAAATCATATCACGTGCAACAACTTATGCTTTCAGGAAATGCTCTTCACCGAAAGCAGCCACAACACGCAACGGCCCAGATGACCTACGATATGATCAATATCCGCCTGAAACATAATTTGTTATGTACTGCGTAGTAACTTTTATATCCAAAAACTGTTCCTCAAATCGACTTGCTAAGGCTGTTCTCTAGACGTTCTCCGGGACACTCGTCCGCCTGCTCCCTCTGGCCCACGTTCAAATAAAGCTATTCATCGCTACTGAAGGATCCGGAGACATCTTCAGTTTCAAATGTACGAAACCGTTAAGGTGAGATAGTTTACTGATTTCGGGCGCAGACTCTGCCACAGTCCAGCAACCAGAAATTGGCCCAGCAAGATGTGTAAGTCGCATTTGAGCCAGCCCAATTAGGCAATTGGCCTTCTCATGCGCCACACTAACAACAGTGTTTCTGTCGAGTCCTCAACTCTTTCATACTCACTCAATATTTTACCTAACTTCAACAAAATCCCCCCCCCCCCCAAAAAAAAACTCAATAAATATCAAGATTTCTGCCCCACAGTCTCCTTACCGAGAGATCCCTGCTTCCAGGCTTTCAAGGCCAGACCAGCCGCCCTTGTCTCGGCCTCTTCTCTAGAGTTGCAGGAGTTCACTTCAAAGTCGCATTTGCCATTGAAGCTGAGCCGGCATTGGAAGACGACTCTGTCCTCGCGGCTGCCCACAATAGCGTTGTGGCGGATTTCTGCCTCGTCCATTTCGTCCTCAGATGTCTCGCTGAGCCCTTCGCTGCTATCATTGCCACTGAGACTATCGTCGCCTTCGTCCATGATCTCCGAGGAGGTCTGTTTTCTCTTGAGGGCCACAGGATCGTCGCCACTGGACTCTGTGTGGCCCTGTGCAGAAGTTTCTTCGGACCTTGCCATTCGTGTCACCTCGTAGAGGAGCTTGACGTTGCCTGTCACAGTTTCTAGCTCTTCCTTGGGATGCAGTAGGTGGATGTTTTCGCTTACAGCGCGCCGCAGGTATGGTAGAATGCCGATCTTGTCGAGCAGCATTTCCACGGCTCCCAAGGAGCCCGAATCAATCCAGACCGCGCCAATAACCGCCTCTAGCAAATCCGAATGAAACTTGTCTGCATCAAGCCCCATAAGATCCTCCCAAGGATACGTATGGCCCGCCCACAGCTGCTCTAGAATGGCGTCTTTCTTGCTGGCAAAGCGTTCTGCACAAAGTTCCTGTGCAATTCCCATTTCACGAGACGCGCCGTGCCGCATATATGCCGAGAGAGGTTTCAAGAAAGGAGTGGCCGCGTCCGTCTGGGCGGTCGACAACGGATCAACCGACGAAGCTGCGGGGGGCTCGGCAATGGTGAACATCATAGCGCTAAAGCCCAAAAAAGCAGCGTTCGCCAGCGTGGTACGAAGTAAATGCATTCTCTGATACGGCAGCGGAGGGCGGACACTTGCGAGTGTTTGCACGATGACGTGATCGAGGATAGCATCACCGACGAATTCAAGACGTTCCATGCAGATTTCTTCCATGTATCCAGGCATAGAGGCGTGCGTAATAGCCTGGACCAGAAGAGACTTCTTGGTGAAGGTGTAGCCGAGAAGTTCTTCGAGACCGGGCGGCGGGGGACAAGGTGGCTCCACCGGGGCCGCTTCGTATAAGATGTCCCGGCAATCTGCCAGGGAAAGCCAATCCATTTCCTCCAAGAACAGACCAATGCATTGTAGAGCCTTTTCCATCCCGCTTTCAGCATGGCTCGCACCAATAAGAGCCTCAACAACATCAGCCAGCATTTTTGTTGACATTTCTAGCGGTGGATCTTGCTTTTGGGGCGTGCTGGAACTGTTTTTCGGGGCATCTGTGATGTCTGTGTCTTTGGGTTGAGGTTCTGATTCAAGCGAATCGCAGTACCTCTTCCAGGCTCTCAAAGACCACTGTTTAGACACAATAAAATGATCCAACCCGAATTCAAGGGCTGCTCGACAGAGGCGAGAGTTGGCAACAAGCCGATCTTTGCGCAACGACAAATGACCTTCTGGCGCGTCAAGATCTATTTGAGCGAAAGGTTAGCGAGATTTCCCAGATACTCTCGAAAAACAAGTCGAATCTTACCGCGTGCGCTGCAATTAGATACAGCGGTAACCTTTAGAATGGAGTCACCAATGAACTCGAAATACTCGTAGTTAGTGGGCAAGCGGGCCGCTGGAGCGCTTATAGCTGTTGCGATAAGAGAAACGTCCTTGATGTCCAGTTGACGGAGGCGTGTCGAGTCCAGCAATTGGGTAGCCACCATCTGTACCTCAAGAACAGCTGTTAGAGGCGGCAGCAAGGCGCCCAGTTGGACGTATGCTATTGGAAGGCGGTCAACTCGACATTCGGCGGCCGGAAGAACTCGCGGATACCGTTTGGCTGCGGGAGCAGCAGGCGAAGGTGACACGCCAGGACTGTCTTCATCATCGTCACGGACCACATTAAAAGTCCTATGTAGCATTCCGACAATCTTGGGCCATGGGCGGACAACAACATGTGCAGCGTCCTCTGGGGCGTCCTCATAGTCCTTGTACGCCTTTCTCACGAGGTTTAATGGGGGTTTCACTGGAAGATAGTCCTGGTAGTAGTATGGAACGTTGTCTACATCCCGAACAAGGCACGTCGAGTTCGGAGAGAAAGGGCGTTCCAGGTCTGAAAATATTTGCGGGTCAAAGGGGCGTGAAGATATAAGTTCTTTGCTGAAACGTTCCTCCTCGCACACAATCCGCACGAGGCGGTGCATATCACCCAAGGCCCACCGGTGGCCAAACGCAGCATATAAGAGAGTGCCGGTATGGTCGCTGTCGTCGTGATACTGATCCTTTCCGCGACCGTAATCTTGACGCTGACCTTCAGATATATGCACAATCCATGGCCGACGTGAGTGAGCTGTCCAATATATTTCAAACGGTGGAATTGTATGAAGAGAACAAGGTGTAATAAGATCTGCGTCAAAAATCTCGATTCCTTGGTCGTCGAAAATTCGAAGGGTATGCCGATAAACAAAAGATCGGATTCCAGAGGGAGATGTCTGAATTGTTTTCCAAAGCTCACGAATGTCCGGCCATGGTCGATACTGTTCATGCACAGCGATCTTGCCTGGTCGGCCTTCGATGGATCGTGACAGATATTCTTCGGCTACCCTCGGCGGCAACAAATGCTCGTTGAGAAGGCCGGCCTTGTGTATGGCCTTGTAAGCCTGTAAAGCTGCATCGGCTGTGGCATCTGACTGAGACTGCCAAGAATACTTGCTCTCGGCTCGACGTAGATGCGCTGGAAGGGTTATCGGAAGCCTCACAAATGCGCGAAACTCATCTGGATGCATCGCCACCTTGTGTAGAGTAAACATTGGTCGGCAGTCAGCAAACGCCCTAGACGACATCGTGGAGCAAAAGTGGCTCAAGTGCTGTTTGGCATCCTGTGGAAGCAGCATGGAACCCTTGGCCTCGCCATAGATTGGCTGTAGTCGCCCATCGCCCAGGGCCGACTTTTGGGGCCTTTCTTGCAAATCAACGTCCTTACGCAACTCATCTTCGTATATTCTCTTCATCTCAGCTTCGAGGGCCTCCCATTCTGATCTCAGGGGACCAATATTTGCTGCATTTAGAACACTGGCATCGTGCCCATTGATCAACGGCCCCATGAGTAGGTGGAATTTCGAGTTTTCGTCACGCGCTCTGCCCCGGCGCTGAATGAATGCCTTTAGGCTCGTTAAATCGTCGATGCAGACAACAATATTGCAGGCAGCCATGTCGATACCCTCCTCGATGACGCTTGTTGCAACAAGCAGATTCAACTGTCGATTTCGAAACTTTAGAAGTGGGACACGGCCATCCTTTGGAGCCATGGCCAGGAGTCCGTCCGGTCCACGGTCAAGTTGAAATTTGGACATGCCGACCACGTAGCCGGCTTTGAATCTCGACGAAAGACTAGGGTGAATCGAGATAATGTGAGACAAAACGGCGGCCATTGGCCGCTCCCTGACGAATACGATACCCGTAGGGAATTCTGCTTCGTGGTTGCAAAGAATCTCTACAAGCTTCTGCACCCGAACTGACAAACCACTGTGAAAATCGACATGATCTTTGTGACTGTTGTCCGCAGTCAGTCGCCGCGGACGCTTGGTCACCACAAACTGGAGAATGGCCAGTAGATATGGTTCGTTCTCACCAGGCAGGCGGCTACTCAGATTGCTGATGCATCGTCGAACAATTTGGTGAACGTAGTACTCCGCAGCCCACGATCCGAGGTATGCACAGATAGTGCAGGCTTTTCGGTGAAAGGACGAGATAAATTTGTGCGTCCACTTAATGTCTCCCTCGCTTATCATGCCAGAAAAGTGGTTATTGACATGGCTGAGCTCTGGAATCTGTGACCCGCCAGACAAACTGCTGAGCAACCTCGCGAGAGCTAAAAGATTGCGGCCGTGTTGTGACGACTGGGTGTTGTCCAGGCCAGGGTCACATATGTGCCGAAACGTTGACGGGCGTTTTGTGTGCAAAATGAGATTGTCGCGATGCAGTGTCGGCGTCACACAAGTTGCATGCATTGTACCCTCTAGCAGCTCGATGCCTTCGAGCTTCTTACCCTGAACTGGACTTGCGGTGAGACCAAGAATGGCCGGATGAGGAAGGCCCTTTTTCACAGCTGGGTGAAAGAAATCTGTCATGATGCGTCGCCCGGGGCTGTTTTTTACGCAACCATGTACTTTGAGCCGCTCAGGGTCAATAAAAGCGATCATGACCCATTTCTCTTGTCTGGTGAGAGCATACCTTCGTCAAAAACCAAAAGCGGTATAGATTCAATGTTAACAAAGCCATGCATTAAAGCTTCCTATGCCAAATATTAGACGACAAGCATTGGATACGAAATATGCGGCGCGAATGAATATCGTACAAGCAACACTTGGGGCGTCACAACGACAAATCTGATGTTCCGTAGTGCCGCATCCCTAAAACACAAAATGTTAATATTAGGTACCTTTACCAGGATGTTGTATTCGGAAGGTCCCAAAGCATACCATATAGCTTGCGTAGACCAGGCCTTGATATCGGTCTCGCCTGCTATGATGCGGCCTTGAACGCCCTGGATCTGTGACGAGATGGCATAGTACTGTTGATAGCAGAGAGGAACCGTTGGGGCCAAGAACCAGACAATCTACAAGTGTGGAGAGGAATGTCAGTGTTTTGCTTGAAAGGCCAGCAGCCAGACGACCATGAAGGGTTTTACCTTGGGGGCAGGCGACCGTTCAAGCTCGGCTCGTATCCGCAGAATGGCGCTGATGGGCTGTCAGTCAAGAACACCTTTGAATCATAAAAATAAAAACGGAGGCGATGTGCTCTTTACATTCTCGTCTTTCCCGTGCCAGTGTCCATCTGAAAAAGCAACTTGTTAGTGTCTTGTTCTGTATACGAATGTCGTTGGCGGCTGTCTTTACCACCACAATGATGTTGCGCTTCAGACTCTCTTCGAACATCTCCACCTGGTAGAGCCGCGACTGCGCAAGCAAATCGTCCTCGGCGCCCTTCCCCGCCTGGTCATCGTTTGTTTTCTTGGCATCCGGAGTAGCCATAGCTACATCTAGACCGTCGTCGGCCATGGTATTCGGCCAGAATTCGGCCGGCATTAAGTGGCATATGCCACGCGTCTGTCCTGTCGCTAAGTGTGATCGTCTGATGTGGGTAAGCATAAAAGCTGTAGCCTGCACAATGGTCAAGTGGGACTTGGTGTCGTCCATGCAGGCTTATAAAAGCTAGACGATGATAAGCGCTTCATTTTGACTCATGCGTCATTAATGGGAGACGGGAGCAGTGTTTGTGCAGCCTTCATTGGTACTGCCTGCAAATGATTCCAATGCCTACGTGTCCGTCCCATGGGAGGAGGGTTGAAAGTGCAGTTTTGGGAAGGAGCGATGTGGTTGTTTTCGAGAGGGGTAAAGATTGGTGATGTTGGTGCCTAACGAATTCATACTAACTGGACATTGCAATTTCACAACTGTACTCACGCCATGGAGAAAGCAAATACGGCGACTCAAAAAAAAGAAAAAAAAAAGTGAACATCATACTTTGAAACGAAAATGAAAGGTGACATAGCCTAACTGTAACTACTTTGCTGGGTGGAAGTGAGGTGCGTCTTTGGTGGGGTGGTAATCAACACTCCTTACGTCGCACTATCAACGAAGCAGTATCGGAAGGAGCACCTTTGTTAGTTACTCGCAACGAGGCAAGAAGAAGCACGAAACGAACAGGAAGGAACGACCCGACTCATTAAGGCAAGAGCACTACCAAACTCATGTGTGATGCAGGTGCTTTATGCCGCGGGTTTTAATGCCTGGGGCCAGCTACAATTCAACACGACAGCTGGGCCAGAGGACGAACCTGACGACATTTGGACTTTCACACGTGTGCTACAGGACCCCAAGATCGTGCATGTCCGACCGTCCCTTTCTTATACGGAAGTGACAACATCTGAAGGAATTGCCACAGCTGGAATGGGCCCAGTGGCCCCGGCGGATATCTCCCGCATAAGTGACGAAAACAATTTGCACTTTGCTGAAGCTTTGAACGGCTGTGTTTTGGGTTGGTCAGCTACAGAACCATGTCTCCCGCCTTTTGTCTGTTGGTACTGACAACTGCATGCACAGTTTACGACAAGACTGAAGGTGCACTTCTTCAGTATGCGTCAGCAGACGACTATTCGGCGGCCAAACACCGTCGCACAGGTGATGACGCTGCTATTTTGACCGATGTTCCTTGCTCCCGCTTCGCTGGACATCCCAGCGTACGACAGGTCGTTGCGTACGATGTTGGCTTCGCCATTCTCACTACCGACGGTCAAGTCTGGACATGGGGCGACCCGCGATTCCCAGAGTGCCTTGGCCGGGACGTGACTGAATCGCCTGCCGAACGCCCGGGCCGTGTCACTGCCCTCGACGACCTGCCAACTGGACCGATTGTGAAATTGGCGGCTGGTGGCCATGTGCTTGCGGCCGTGACGCAGGGGCGGGATCTTTACTGCTGGGGTGGCTACCCCGGACGGCGGCCCGTGCTGCTAGAAGGCGTCACGGGCGAGCCGACACCCATTGTGGTTTCCGCCACGTCGGCCGACGGCTTCACCGAAGACGCAGATGTCGTCGATGTCGGCATGGGCGATGGGCATATGATCGTGCTTGCAACTGACGGCTCCGTATTTGTTCTTGGCAGCAACGCCAATGGCCAGCTCGGAATAGGACACGACAGCAACGATGCCAGAAGGCCACCTGTACTGGAAAAGAAAATAGTGTCGACCTGGGTCAAGGTTCGCAGTCTTCCGCCTGGCCAGGTGACTGGTGTATATGCAGGTCCGAAAAGCTCCTTCATCGTGGTCACTGAATAGACCGAAGCCTGTTTTTGCCAATGCTCTAGTGTTGATGCCCATTGATTTAAGCCTATCGATTACAAGTACATGCGCCCCTTTGGACTCTTAACAGCGCCAGCTGCACTCTTACGCTATCAGCCTATCGTCCGCGTGCCACCACGCAGGTTGCAAGCTCTCTCTCGTTTTCTTCCATGCGCACACCCGCCTCTCATAGGTTGGTCAGGTAGTCTTCGATCTCCTGTGGCGTTAGCTTGCGGAAGCGCGGCCCTCTCGCGCCCTCAACACCCTCGACACCGAGGAGGTGGTCTGCCGGTGGGCCGATGATGCCTTGACATTGTTAGCCTATGTTTCATCCCGTAGTTGGGGCAATATGTCTTCTGACTCATGTCAGGCTTACCGATCTCGATGGTGTCGCCGTTCATCTCGCCCTCAATCGTCTCCTTGAGTGTCAGCAGGGCAATGTGCACCGCATCTTCGAGCTCCAAGCCCTCCGTGTACCGCTTCTCCAGGAACGTCTTGGCCGACGCCGCGCTCTTGCCAATAGCCGTTGCCTTCCACGGGAAGTAGCTTCCCGATGGGTCCACCTGGTACAGCATGGGACCGCCCTTGAGAATACCGCCCGTTTTGCCCGTGGGCTTCTTCTGCTCACCCGAGGCCAGGCCATCGGCTTCCTCCTCTTCCTCTTTGTTACCAGCTGCAGCTGCCGCCGCCTTGGCCGCCTCGCGCTCGAGCTCCTCCTCGGGCAGGATGCCCTCGTCCCAGCCGGCAATCAGCAAACTGACACCGTACGGCCGGACACCGCCGGACTGGGTAGCCTCCTGCATAACGCGAGCGACATCCTGCACCAATATCCGCGTCGGCGGGTACTCGTTATAGATGCGCTTGTAGCCCGAGTGCGAGACCTTGCGGGCGCGGTCAACGAGGACGCGGTAGTCGGGGCCCATGCCGGCGTAGACCATACCGATGTCGGGCGTGATAAGGGAGATCTTGGAGAGGGATGACGGGTCGGCGAGCGGAGACGATGACTTCTTTTCGGTGGCCAGGACAATGCCGTTTGTGGCTGCAGGGAAAGACATGTTAGAGTGGGGGGATGCCATCGACAGGAGACCGAATGTTGGCAGCACAGCGTACCTTTGATGCCAAGAGCAGTGACACCCTGGTTGACGGCGTTTAAAGCATATTCTATGACAACCCATCCGTTAGCCACTTGCACTGTAAACGTCTCGACATCGTTGCCGCATCTCGCGCGGATTCTCGGCGCGCGCGACACCTCGTCGCACATGTTGAAGGTCGGAGGTGGTTGAACGAACCAATCTGCACCAGCTTTCCGCTGTGGAGTGAAACAATCGAGGTTAGCAACTCTGTCAATACAAGCACAACAGTAACAGCAAAGCCTTTCCATGTTCCCCAATCCCAATGCCGCGTACCTGGGCGAGAACGTTGTCAGCGAGAACGAATACCGGTCGGCCATAGTTGTGGTCGAGGTGTCTTCTGTGGGTGAATGTGCGGTGATGTGAGGTCGGCAGAGCAGTCGGAAATGGGATTCGTATCAAAGAAAGAGGAGTCGAGAGGATCGAATGACGACAATGGTGGACGACGATGGAGACGGATGGCTGAGGATCTCAACACAGACTCGGTTTGCAGCTATGGCCAGTAGGCAGATGCTGCTGTACGTTTTTGGTACGGGTGAGAGTCTGGACGCTGGTTTCCAAGCTCCGCTTTGGCTCTGCGCTGTACCTCACAATGGCGGCGGCCACCCTCCAAAGCGTCGCCAGGCACACCGCACAGTTGCGCGTCGAGCTCTTCTGATTGGCTGCAGCTGTGATGCACCAACCGGGGAGGACCACAGCTAGTATCACTCTAAGCGGGCATGGTTAGTACTCCACTCTGCTCAACATCTCCGCCGAAATGGAACTTGGTTTATCGAAGCTGGCGGAAAAGTCGGTTGGCTTTTCCACCTTCCACTCAATTTCGTGTCCTGTTGCAGGTCGCTCTTACTACTCCTCTTGGCCCAACTTCCACTCCGCCACGTTTTCTCCTTCCCCAATTCAGTGCATCTCGGTCGACGTTTCCCTTTTCCCAACGAAGATGTGACTTGTTGCTTTCCTGCCCAAGGCGAGCCAAGTGGCTATGGAACTCTAAAACGATATATTTCTTCCCTCAATCTGGGCTGGAATCCAAACTATCCATTATATATTTCTTCCTCAACCACACCCTCGTCCAACTTATGACTGTACGAAAGCATATCACTTTTGTTTTGGGATCTTGACCCGGAAGCTCGGGAATTTGATACACACGATCCTTCGCACCCCTAGTTAGTGTTTTGTCTTTCTGCTTTTCGCCTCCTACTTTAAAAGTCAATTTGACCGCCCCGTATCAACAACTACCTATCGCCCTGTCACGCGACTTTAGCCATGGATTTTCGTGCTCGAACTGGTGCCGATGGGGTAAGGTCCAGCTGGTCCTGGCCTGCCGACACAGCTGCAACAGGAAACGCCAGTGGCAATGACACGTCTTCGGCGATGAGAGACGATGGCTGGGCGACGACGAGTGGTTTCGACTCAGGGTCCAAGAGACAAACACGACCGCATCAAGCGACGGTTACGTCCGAGAGCGACAATGACGGCACTGCTTCTGTCGGATCCTTTCCCGGTGTATCCGACAACGCCTCCTGGATCACCGAGAATGAGGAGAGGACACCTTTGGAGCACAACCACTTCCACTACCGCGGCGATGCGAACGAGTACGGCTTTGACAACGAACGCCATGGGCCGGGGCAGCAGAAGGAGCCAACTGAAGAGGAACGGGCTCAGGAACGGTACCGTCGGCGTTTCAAACCACGTACATGCCGAATCTGCTTCGAGACGGTGTTGCCGACATTTGAGGATAGCGCAGCGGACCCGGACGACGGTTTACGCGACATGATGGGCGAGGACGACGCGACTGCCGAACCAGTTGGCCTGGGCGCTGCTGTCCAGGCAGTCGGTGAGGCGACGGCTGGTCTGCGCGACCGTGTGGCTGGTGCGGTGACGTCCGCGCTTCCTACGTTTGTGCGATCGTCGCGCATGCCTCGTGTCCGCTACATCTCTGAAAACCCCGAAGACGGACGGCTGATCAGCCCTTGCCGCTGCAAGGGGTCCCAGAAATATGTGCACGACGGCTGCCTCCAGGCGTGGCGAAAGGCACAGCCCATGGCCGAGCGCAACTTTTGGAAATGCCCGACGTGCGGGTTCGAGTACCGTATTCAGCGGCTGCGCTGGGGCCGTCTCATATCCAACAAGATCACGCGGGCTCTTATGACGCTCCTGGTCTTTGGGCTGACGCTTTTTGTCCTGGGTTTTGTGGCCGATCCGCTGATGGATTTGTGGGTGGACCCAAGCGGCGTGATTATGGACACGTTCCTGGATGTGCACGAGTTTGACACGGACGACGACCTCCTCGGGAGTTTCCACGACGTGCTGGGCGGCGGCGGAGGTAGTGGTGTTGGTGGTGTTGCTGATTTCGTTGGCGTGTCTGGCTGGTGGGAGCACTTCATCAAGGGTCTCTTCTCATTGGGCATCGTTGGCGTTGTCAAGACGTTCTTCGTCGTGTCACCGTTCACTTGGTTCAATCTGCGCGGTGTTGGCCTTGGCCGTGGACGGCGGCGTGCTGCCGGTGGTGGCCGAGGACGCTACGAGAGCATGAGCTGGATTTTCATCCTTGTCGGCGCGTTTACATTTTTAGGGGTAGGTGATATGGCCACATGCGGGACATTGTTAAAGTATTTTGTTGCTAATACATGTTTTTAGGTTGCCTGGAATGGTATCAACTACTTGAGCGGTCGTCTCTTAGAGCGTGCCAGTGAGCAAATTATCGATATTGGCGCTGAAGGTCCCGACGATGACGAAGAAGACACCGATGCTGGGCACGCTGAAGCAGACGGTAGCAATGTCGGCATCCAAGAAGCGGTGAATGACGATGGCCATGATGCATGAGCAAGACACGATTTTTGGCTGATTTTAAAGTCACAAGAGTATCTTAGCCACAAAATGGAAGCTCTTTCAGAGATCTCAAGACTCTTATCCCCCCTCCACTCTCTTCTCCCATGAGTCTTACTACCTCTACTCCCGAAGCAACCTGCACACTCTTAAGTTGTCTCGAGTTCTTCGCCTCCGTGTCGAGCCAACTAGTCTGTGTGCAGAGATTAACCAGTCCCGATACTTGTTCCTCTGCTCGGGGTGGCCTGGCGTTTTGTCCGGCCGCTTCCGCATGAGCAGAGACTTCGCGGACGCCGCCATCCTTTTCGCCGTCTGATTGTCTGGCAGAGAGCAAACGCTTAGCGTCTTGCAAAGCTCGCTCCTCTATCGACATCATTTCCGCTTAGCTCCTCTGGTTCGTAAGGGCCTTTCTCTGGGCAGAATTCCGCGCAGGTCTTTTCATGTCTTCGCCGGATACGTCCCCAGAGGCTCTCCCACACGAGAGGTAAGCACCGGCAATTGGTTGATACATCCATTCGTAATTGTAAACGACGTTTGTAGATCGATATGGTGTCTATAGCCTGCTGGCAGCCATATATTTTACCAAATTGACCGTCGTCGGCCTCGCTGTGACGTTTTAGGTTGCCTTTACATGGCCGTGTCACTAGCTTCAGCCTCGCAAACCCCTATTTTTGCGATCTGCGTTGACTCTTAACTGCCGCGTAGGTAGCTCCGCACTCATGTTTGTCGTTAATTGCACCGTTTCTAGCACTACTAGGACCTTGCACCAGGCCATGCCATTTCCCTTCCCTATTTCGCGCCGAGACGGGCGCCCCACCCTCAATTTACTCTAGCAGCACGGGTCTCTCTTTCTTCTACTGGACAGTTCGTGGGAAGAAAGACCTGCCACGTCAGGGGTAATAGTGGACTGGGGACCCAGGAAGGCGCGCTATATTGTCGTGTAGGGGGCCCTGTCCCCATTTCATAATTTTTCGTTGATATTGCCTGGAAACTATCGTAATCGAACTTTGTCCTCTTTGACTCCCTCCCTGCAATCGCGCTGCAAGACGCATACATCTCCCAACCGCCACGAAGGGCGAAAACGAATCTCAAAATAGGAGAGCGAGCGAGTGGCGCGCCGTACTTTTTTTATGCCCCCCTTGTCTTTTCTACCCGCTGTACCTGTCTCAATCTCAAGCGTGACCGGCCGCGTGCTGTTCCTCTTCCCCGATTTTCTCTCCTTTTGGACTTCCTCTATTGACTACCGACGGCTTTTCTCCCGGCGCCTCCTTTCCCGTCCGCTCACCGTCCACGTCCGCCCGTGTCCCGCTTCTCTGGGCATTCACTCCAACTGCTGTCCAAGGTTGAATCTCGTCCATTGGGGACTGCCCAAACCGACCTGGCACGACAGTAGAGAAAGCCCCCTTGTCTCTCTCTTGTCGCATCTCCTGTTCCGCGCAAACGAAGCTCGGTCTTTACTTGCTGCTACGATCTTCAATTCTAATGACGCCCGCGTCTTGACGCGATACGATACGACCGTTCCTCCTCGATCTCGACCTGTCCTCTCCTTTTCTTTTATTTGTTATACGTTTGATATCACGACATCCATCCACGAACCGTAGTCTCTCACCACCAGAGCCCCGTCGAGCAAGGGACAGATAACCAAGACACCCCCCGGTCACGCATCGACCTTCTCCTTACCAGCGTCGCAACCATATACACACGCATACAATGCATTTCGCTTACCCCCCACGCAAAGACTCCAATGCGGCCGCGTTCAAACCGCGGGCGTCATCGTCCCGGTTGCCCTTCATACGTCGCGGCCGCAAGCGGGTGCTTGCCTTCGGTGCGCTCTTCTTCTTCGGCATCATCTACTTCTTGACACGGCCCAGTAGCCGGCATAGCGGCGCCAACCCCTGGATGGCGGCACATCTCAAGGCTGCCAAGGAGGAGGGTACTGGCAGCACCATGCCGGGCGTCGGCGACCACAAGGCACCTACGGCAGCTGACGGTAACCCGTTCGGCGCCGACTTCTCGGCGGCAACCGAAAACCTTGCCTCCTTTGGCAAGGCGCCAACTGTCGTGCTCGTCACCGTGTACGACGAAACCAACTTCCACCGCGCATACCTCGACACCATTCGCGAGAACCGCCGGCAGTATGCTAAGAAACACGGCTACGGCACCTTCTCGCCCAAGGTCGGCTACTACGACCTCAATGGCTCACCGCTGTCGTGGACCAAGGTCGTGGCTATGCGTCATGCACTCACGCTCTTCCCCGAGAGCACGTACTTTTGGTTCCTGGACCAGAACGCGTTTGTCATGAACATGGACAAGAGCATCGAGGGCGACATTATGGCGCCGGCCAAGATCGACGAGGCCATGCTCAAGGACTTCCCCGTCGTGCCGCCCGACAGTATTATCAAGACGTTTGGCCACCTCAAGGGCCAGGACGTGGACTTTTTGCTGACGCAGGACTACGACGGCCTGTCGACGTCGAGCTTCATCGTCCGCAACGGCGAGTGGGCGCGCTTCTTCTTTGAGACTTGGTTCGACCCGCTGTATCGGTCCTACAACTTCCAAAAGGCGGAGACGCACGCATTGGTAAGAAGACACAATACGGAAAGAGGGAATCAGGTAGCACAAATTACATGCAAGGAACTAACACGTCCAGGAACACATTGTCCAGTGGCACCCGACGCTCCTGTCCAAGATGGCCCTCGTGCCGCAGCGGACCATCAACGCCTACAGCAAGGTCGACCACGGCGCCAAGTACGAGACGGGCGACCTGTCGGTCCGTGTCGTTAGCTGCATCCGCACGAGCTCGGCCGTTTGTGAGAACGAGGCCGCTCCGTTTATCCAGCTCTGGCGTGGCGGCGACAAACAGCAACAGGCGGCAT